CAGGACGAATGGTACAAGACTCCCTTGCAAATCATACAGGACCTCTATTTATCCATTCCAAGGAGACTGCAAGCAGTTCTGCAAGCCAGAGGTTGTCCTACACCATATTAGTCACGGTAATGTGTTTTTTGTTGGGTGTTTAAATATTTTTGTCCATCCCCTGTACATACCAGGTTTCATAAAGGTTGGTTCAAGCATTTAGAAGTTAAGGATGGAATACATAAACAGACGCAGAGACAGCACGAAGATAGCATTAACACCGCTCTTTTCCAACCCGCCTTTGCTTGTATCGGCGCAGTCGGAATGGCGCTATCCCTGCTACACCTGTTTCTACCTTAGGACAGTGTATGATGGCTACTGGAAGTTGTCCTCACAGATCAAACTAAGGAAGATCGGTATAGGTACGGGAAACTAGCTGGGTCGGTTTGCATGAGTCTCAGGGTAGCGATGCCGCAGAAAGCGTTTTTCTGAGAGTTGAGCCAATTGACGTTTATTCACCTGCTAATTCACCACACTGTTAAATTAATGTATTCTTAGCTTTAAGTTACAGCGTTACACTATCGGCTGGCTATGTCTCGGAGCGTGCAAGGGTCACGTCCGTTCAGTTCGGAATATTGTGAAAGTCTCTCCTTTTGTGGAATGGCTTGCACCCCCATGCCGGGAATTCGAAAGATGGTGTTGACATATACATTTTCATCCCATCTTCCGTAGGAAGCTTGAACGAGGCAACCCAATCATACTGGCCCTCATTCACAGGCAATTGTAACAAGCTCTGACCTGTCCTTTTAGGCGCGTCCGGTTCCCTGTACCCGAGCTAAATTTATGACTGATCGTAAATGTCATAACTCCGGACTTCTTGTTTCTGCCAGAATCTAGAAATTTTCAACGTAAACACCGTATTGCACGTCCCAGACGATGAAATACCATATTATAGATCACGATACATTTCCAGTAATATCGAAACATAAGACTTTTGAAATTTAAATTACCGAGAATTAATTAGAAATAAATTTCATGGTCATCTATAATCATCAAAATATATAAGGGCTCAGAATGATCAGCGTCAGCATAAGCCAACTTTATTTTAAAAAATAAGGAAAGGAGGCTAAAATAATTATTGGAATGCCACTGTGTGTGTGTGTGTGTGTGGGAATATGAACATTAGAGTTCCGTAAATAGTGGCCTTTGAAAAACGCCCCCCCCCCAAAAAAAACAATATTTGATTTTCTCGAAAGTCGTTCTAATGATTTTGAATACATTTCAGTAATTAACGAGATTAACCCCTTAATTAAAATGGTGACGGTATTTTCAGGGAAAAAACGGTAAACTCCGTGGAGGACCAAAGGCGTATATGAGAAAACATGAACGCCCTTCTCATTTGAGACTTTGAGGGTCTCCTTCTGTCTCGAACTGAGAAGCCAAAATTCCTTTTCCAATTACTCTTTATTTCAGATGATAGGGTCGCTTCCAACGAAATGAAGGGAACGGAAACCGTGGAAATACGGGCAAATTTTACCCATCACAACGTGGCCAGGTAAGACAGTTACAATGAAGGCTGGTTCTCCTCATTTCCATGTCCGGATCTCATATCCTGGTTTTGGTAACGAATAACAAGTGTGGGTCGGTCTGTGTGTGTGTGTGTATGTATGTATGTGTGCAAGAGATATTTGTGCCTGTAATCTTTCAAAAATTATAGTTTAAAGTGGACTTTCCACTGCTTTGTGTAGGCCATTTCCTTGTCCATTTCCTGGTTAAGGACAAATACTTACATTAGAGGCTATTCTTCCGTGATAATATTTGTTGAAATTTGTTTAGTGGAAGCACCGAAAATTTATCATAATTGCTTTGTTTATGGAATTTGGAATATATATGGAATATAAGAACAAAGGTCCATTTCAGCCCATAAAACACTCACAACAGAATTGAACAAAGAAATTCAAATAGAGGAAAGAGACATGGAACGTAGAAATACAATGGGAGGGTATGGGGTATGTTACATGAATATCACATATGTTTGTGCAAATACATCCACAAGGACATTTGTGGGGAATATTAGAAATAAATCAGTAAATAAATAAAAATAAATCTGTTACGTTATTTGTATCAATCGAGTAAGAAAGGGAAAGCTATCCCTGTAAGAGGCCGTGGAGGTCAATGGGGTTGTGAGACGTCGAGGCCTTTCAATGATTGGAAGAACACAAATAGTTTTTACTGATTTACTTGCCAATCAGAAGACGTGTATNAAGTTCAAATATTTGGGAACGACAGTAACAAATCAAAATTTGATTCTTGAAGAAATGAAGAGGAGATTGAACTCGGGTAATGCTTGCTACGTTTCAGTTAAGAATCTTTTGTTTACTCGTCTGCTTTCTAAAAGCGTAGAAATTAAAATATACAAAACTATAATCTTGCCTGTGGTTCTGTATGGGTGTGAAACTTTGACTCTGGCATTTAGGGAGGACCATAGACTGAGAATGTTTGAGAACAGGGTGCTGAGAAGAATATTTGAATTGAATAAAGATGAAGTAACAGGAGGTTTGAGAAAACTGCATAATAAGGAGCTTCATAACTTGTGCTCTTCACTAAATAAAATTAGAATGAACAAGTCCAGGAGGATGAGTTTGGAAGGGCATGTAGCACCCATGAGGAAGGAAAGGAATGGTATAGAATTTTCTCGGGAAAGCCAGAAGGAAGGAGACCAGTAGGGAGACCTATACGTGGGTAAGAAGATAATATTAAAGTGAATCTTAGATAAATAGGACGGGGCGGTATGGACTGGGTTCATCTGGTTCAGGGTAGAAGCCAGTGGCGGGATCTTGTGAACTTTGGGTTCCGTAAAATGTTGGGAACTTCTTGAGTAGCTTAGCGTCTGATGACTTCTTAAGAAGGGCTCAGCTCCATGGAGTTAGTTAGTTAATGACATTTGTGAAAATTATTTTTGTATATGCTGAGAACTGATTGAACTTAGCAAATCCTCTTGTTGCGTGAAATGTAAAGTTCCTGATTAAAACAAGATGGCATAGACACGTGTGATTACAACAGCCCATGAACGAACAATTTCACATAATAATACACCTTCTGTTTATGTAAAATATGTGAACTGCTTTACTATATGAGTGATAATTAATTGCTTCTTAATAAGACCTTCGCTTCTCGCGTTCCATATTTATGTATCTTTGAAGTAGAAGCATTTAAAATAAAATCGTTGTAAGTTCCTTACAGCTCCGACCGCGTTTGCGGTTCCTGTTTCCATAAGACATTACCCTGAAATGACAATACTGTTATAAATCTTTTGCCTTGAAGTGTTTCTTGTCACAAAATATATCCGTCCTTATACCGGTTTTTAATTGATAACATCAGAATATCCTCCTTAATGGGAAACCCCACGTGTTCAGTCTTTTGAGTATAAAGGTAGCAGTTGGCCTGGGTTCTCTGCTTTCACTGAAGGGAATTCAGACAGCAGCCAGAGGCGATACACACATCGGCAAAATGGAAGTAAGTGTTGCCTGCTGAAAATTTCACGTGGTTTGGCTAATAGCTTTTTTTCCTTAACACCAGAATTGTAAATGTTTACATTTGTCTCACTGTTTCAATGGAAGCTTCACTTCACGTACTCACAATCCATTCATTACATCCGACATTGAAAAGAATACAAAATATGTTTCAAGAAGCTCTTCTAAATGAGCATTTTCGGGGAAAATAAAAACAGTTGACAACAGAGAGGCTATTGGTAGATCCATCTATCGGCAGGATTAGTACTGCCTGTAAACAGCGCATGCGCGTGCTTGTGGGCGAACTAAGTTAACACAATCTCACGTAGCATCGTTAGAATTTTGTTGTACAGAAACAGTTAATGGTTACGACGTGTAAAAACTATAAATTCGTTATGTTGACAGCAAATTTGTGTTCAGTCATGTAGTGGGTTCCCACGTCTACTGTTTATTACTTTTAACGACATAACCATTGTTTCCCATACAAAGCGATATACGTCAAGAAGAGATAAATCACAATATATGAATTTTGAACTTATCTAAATAGGAGAGAACTTTTTCAGACGTTAATAGTGGCTCAACTAGTCAACAAAATCCTCAGTTTTCGTGGAATACAAAAAGCAATTTCATTGTTAAGAGACGTTCTCCCTTGGAGCCTGTCCTCAGCCAGAAGAATCTAGTCAATATCTTCACACATTATGTCTTTGAGATCCATTTCAATGTTACCATACTATCACGTGATTGAGTGGCTACAGATGCGATACTACACTTCACAACTCTCTATCTCACACACACTAATGTTCTCGGTCTGTTACAGTCTCCATTAGCCGTTTCCAGGTAAAGGTTCCCAACATTCCTCAGCTTCTGTGCCAAGTCCTCTCGTCACAGACTCCCTTACAGTTCTCCCAGTGCTTCAACTGACTCCCAGGCTGACGGCCATTTCACACCAACCTCCTAGTCTTCTCTTCACAGACTTTCAACTGGCTGTGCTCAAAAGTCAAAGTCAAAGGTAATTTACGACTCATGGTTTAACGCCAGTCAATTCGTCTTGGTGTCAAGCCCCTTGAGACTCACGAACAGATATTTTTCTCAACAGAACCCTAGCGGCCATAGTTCTTATATACCACCCTTTCTCACGAGAGGATGGGTTTGTCTTATGAATATGCTTGGCTTTTGTCAAGTGTGCGGATCGCACATGTAGTATGTTACTGAAAAATTCTTGCTTTTGCACTGTATACAAGTTTTCTATCAGTACAGGTTTTACAGAGCAGATCATGCCTATCTTACGTACTGACTACGGTCAGAGTCAGAGTTACTTTACGACAAGTCAATGTCAAAGTAACATTGCGACTGACGGTCAGTCAGTCTGTCTGTCTTGGTATCGAGCCCCGGCTGGGGCTCATGACCACATGTTACTTTTTAAATGGAAATCTGATGTCCTGCTTATATAACCATTTTGCACGGACAGCGTAGAAAACACCGTTTCCAGCAGCTCCTCTATTGGTTCATGCGTATTCGTTGCTGCGATAACGGTTTTACTGAGCCGTTCCCTAGCAGCTGCCTTATATTCTTGCTTATTAAAATCTGTTGTCTAGTAGCGAATTTTGTTCGTTTTTTTCTCTCGAGGTCGTTGCCTAGAAACGGGTCTATACGCCACAATACATTATGTAGATTCTACCCATCTCATGCCCGTTTATTTTTTCACCGTCACACGAGAAAGCCGCAAAATACCTTCTAACTTTCGTTTTCCTTTTATAACCAAAAGAAATGCAGAGCAAAAAAATGAGAAAGCTGTATTAAATATATTTTAAGTCGTAAAAATATAGAGTATCCAGTTTTATAAAAATTCGTCTGACAATTTTTGGAAACTGGTGAAACCCCGATTTGGAACGAGGGGTTAAAATACAGCCCATACAACTTTTTAAGTCTTCTTCATCATCAAGTTTTTCTTTTCTTAAAGAGCGTCTACACATCAGCAGGAACGTATCATCTCCATCTTCAGGGTACAAAAATCCGCCAGTGAAGAAAGAGCGTGAGCAGGTGGTTACCAGACGTTCCTCCGAAACGTAGGCTTACACAAGATCTACATGGCGCCACATCCCAGAAGATGGCATTCTTCATAGTCGCCGCTGTGGGAACCTCAAATTCTACGTATTATAGCCCTTGTTTCGAAGATATGTCTTATTCGTTTCAGGTCAAATTCCTGCTGCTGTTAGCCGCGTGTCTGATAGGAGCTGCGGCCCAACTGACCACCAGTATTTGTTCCCAAGTGTGCAGGAACCCGAGGCAAGTCCTTTGTCCAGGACCGGCTACTGCCGCCGACTGCAAGGAAGGACAAATTTTCAAGAAGAATGGATCTTTTTGTAGCTGTTGTAATGCTTGCTATACTCATGTCGGTGAGTCAAATATTTTATTCCCGTTAAGAACAACGATGACCTCTTCTGTGGTCTAGTGGTCAGAGTTCCTTGGCTACAGACCCAGAGGTCCCGGGTTCAATTCCCGGCTTTACCAGATTTTCTGAAAAGTAGTGGGTCTGGAACGGGGTCCACTCAATCTCGTGAGGATAATTGAGGAGCTATTTCAAGAAAATAGCGTTTCCGGTCTAGAAAACCGAAATTAACGGCCGTGGGGATCCGTTGCGCTGACTACGTGACGCCCTCTATCTGCAAAAGTTAGCACTAACTTCGCCGACAAGCGGCGGTCGCTCGGTCGGTATAGTTCGCTTGCGGACTGCAGTCCACGGATTTTTTTTTTAAGAAGAGCGATCGTGAAAGAAGGGACAAACGAGAATACACAGTTTCATAGGCCACTTCATGAACATCGGTGGACAGCATCGCTTATTTTGAGAAGGAACATAAATTATATGTGAAAACAAAGACCTATAGATAAATACATAACTTAATGCTTATAATTTATTTTTCAGGAGCAAATAGGAGTTGTCTGGCCGTGCCTTCGAGAGGGATATATTACCAGTGTCCAGAAGGCTACATCTGCTCGTACAGAGAATATTGCGAGAAGGAATAATACGGCTCTGCTTAAAGGACGAAACATGAGTTATACATTTGTATATAGTTGTATACAGTAATATTTTATACAGTTGTGTGTATTTATATGCATATTAGCACTGCACTGCACTCAAATTAAAGTTATTCAAACATAAATTTGTATCACAGTTATTGTCCCAGAAACATTCATAAGCCCTATATATTTATTTTGTAGCTTATATTCCTTATTTCGGAAAAGAAATGGAGGCTTATGAGATCACTTGTATCTGTCTGTATCTGTATATCCTTGTGTCTGTGTATTCATTTGTGTCTATCAGCCCTAATTCTGGTCTAGAAAACCGAGAGTAACGGTTGTGGGGATCCGCTGCGCTGACCACGTGACACTCTCTATCCGCTAAAGTTGGCACTAACTTCGCCGACAAGTGGCAGTCGCTCGATCAGTATAGTTCGCTTGCGGAATACAGGCCACGGAGTATTTTTATCGGCCCTAATTTTTTAGGCGTATGAGATAACTTTCATGTCTGTGTGTCTGAGTGTCCCCCGTTTTTTCGTTACCTATGCAGTCCGTGTTTTATCAAAAGAAAAAAGGCGATTACTTCTTCCTAGAATTTCTTGTTACTCTCTTTAGTTGTACGCATGAGTGAGAGTGAGCGCCTTTGTACTGCACTTCAATTGGGCCTACATTTCCTCTAACATAACTCTGAAGAGAAGTTAACCTTGAGCAAAGCGCCTTGCGGACAAGAAATCTTGTGTCCTAAACGAAATCTTCCGTATGGTGACCTTTGTTTCCAGTTTATGTTGGAAAAAGAACTATGAACTTTCTAATGACGTCATAACGTCCGTACCATTGCCTAATGAATATTAGCCTTCATAGATCCTTTAGATATGCTATCCGTGTAACAGGCCGTGGAGGCCCATAGGATTGTGAGACGTCGAGGCTCCCACGTTTTATAGACAATCGGCTCACAGATGGCGGTAAGTTTATCGGCCTTACGCGCCGGCAGCCCTATACCCTCAGGAAGATTCTTAGTGTTCATTTCTGCTAGAGGCTGAGCCGACCCCAGGGCCATAGTGCGACTGGAAGGATTTGGTCAATTGAAAAAATCCACCTCATTGGGCTCGAATCTGCGACCTTCCGGCTTGTAGCACAGTGCTTCAAACAACTACACTACCGCGTGTCCTGATAATAATGAGTATGGTGTATTGTGGAATGAGAAGTGTCAGGGGAGAAACTGAAGTGTACGTGGAAGCGCCTGCCATTTTGCCATTAAATTTGCCACACGTTCCAAATGGGCTACCCTGTTACTGAACACGGGCCTCGGAGTTGAGAGGCCGGCCAATAACAGCCCGAGCTACGGCAAGGTCCCAGTTTTGCTCACGTGACTCCCTCTTACCTCATATGTGTAACATCCGCTGCCATTCAATTCCTCATCCCCCCTTTACCCTTCCTTCTCCTACCTGTGGTCCAGTGGTCAGAGTTACTGGCTACAGATCCAGAGGTCCCGGGTTCGATTCCCGGAAAGAAGCTGTAACTGACGGGGTTTTGTGAATACGGCAATAAACGAATAGGGTTATGAGGGAAATATTTGGACCGAAGAGGGATGAAGTGACGGCAGGTTCAAGAAAACGGCATCATGAGGAGCTTCATAACTTTCAAATGCTGTCTGGTATGACACCTGAAGAGTGGAATAGCAGAGCTAGAACAGACGGCCGTTGCTAGGTAATGGCTCTATAAACACGTGTCCGCGGCAATGAATACGCATGCAGTAATAGAATAACTTATGGGAGCAGTGTCTTCTATGCAGTCCGTGCCGAGGCTCTATAGTAAGGACGAATAGGAAAGGTCTCAGTATTAGTTCATAGATAGTGAGAGCCAGAGATAGCTAGTCAGTTCCCACATTGGTAATTGTGAGATGGTAGCCAGCCGGCAACGACGTAAGTGCGAGAGCAAATAATCTCCATAGCTGGCAACCGTTACCTAGCAACGTCTAGTGAATACATAGTAGATTTTATGTGGGCTGCTGCACAGAGATTTGTAGAGTTTTTATATCAGTGAAAATATAGTTACTTGTAGCTACGAGTTACAATTGTTGAATAAATCCAATTATCAATTCAAACCCCTTGTCTAATCACTGAATAGTGACAATAGTTAGAATGATTGAAAGGATGAGATCGGAAGGGCAAGTAGCACGAATGGGTGGCGAAGAGGAATACATAGAATATATTGCTGGGAAAGTCAGAAGGAATGAGACCACTGACAATACCTAGATGTAGACAGGAGGATAATATTAAATTAGATCTTTAGAGAAATAGGATGGGGTATTATGGACTGGATATGGACCAATGGAGCGCTCTTGTGAACGCGGTAAAGAACCACCGGGATCCATATTATATTGGCAAATTCTTCAATTGCTAAGCGAGTGATGGCTTCTCAAGAAGGGCTCAGCTCCGTAGGGTTAGTTACAGGGAACAAAGATCTATAACACATCTGCCGAGCCATATTCAGTTTATTGAACGAATTGTTTCACACATAATGAATTACTGGGGAGGGACACAAGTGCCCTTGCACACCAAGGGCTCTCGGCACAGCCTCAGGTTCGGCAGGCTCCCCTCGTCCGTGCACGGTTCATTTTCATCTGGAACAGGAAGAAGCAATCAGTTGCATTCTGCAGTCTGTTCACGGTTCGTGTGGAGTGCGTCGGACAGACAGCGATACAATACTCACCTCCTATTGGCTGACAGCTGGGAATTCCACACGAGCCCGATTCGTGCATTCCTTTTCCTGTTAGGAACTCGCTAATTATGGGTACAGTGTTTAATGCTAGGTATTTCGTTGTCACTGGGAGAGATATTGGTCGTCGTCCTTGCTCGAACCGTCGTCCCACTCTGAGGGAAACTTTCCGCAATTCGTAACGATATTCATATCCATTCTGTGATAAGGGACAGAATACAACTTCCAAACTGTATTTTTCTACAATATTATTATTTTATGTGTTGTATATATAATTACTGACAAGCCGGGATAGCTCAGTCGGTATAGCGACTGGCTACAGGCTGGATGACCGAGGGGTCGGAGTTCGAGTCCCGGTGGGAGCAAGAATTTTCTCTTCTCTAAGTCGTCCAGACCGGCTCTGATGCCCACCCAGCCTCCTATCCAATGGGTAGAGGGGGCTCTTTCCCCGGGGGTACAGCGGCAGGGGCGTGAAGCTGACCACACACTTCCAGCTAGTCCCGAAGTCAAGAAAATGTGGATCTATACATCCACTCCTCCATAAGTCTTCATAATTTTAATATTTTTTTTTTTGTATGTAACTACTGCCAAGCACAGTGGCTGCGAGCAATAAGGTATGAACGGTCTTCGGCCGATCGAACGCTTAGGTCGTGGGTTCGAATCTCACTCAAGGAATGGATATCTATGTGCGTTTATTCTGTTCGTGCTGTTCTGTGTGTAGGTAGCGACCTTGAGACAGGTTGATCCCCTGTCCAAGGAGTGTGTATTAGATTCATTCATTCATCAGTAATCTGTCAGACGACAGGTCCACAGTCTCTTCCAAAACAGTTCGTCCACTTAATGCGATCTTCTGTTTTTGGAAAGAGACTATCCAGGAAAAGTGATAATGTGGTAGTTTTTCCATTTGCTTTCCACATCGCAGTACAACAGCCGTTCAAACCACTCTGGTCACGCCTGTTGCTATAAGAACTTGAACCATCTCGAGCATCATTTGCTCTGTGCTTCAAGTCGCTGCTGATGACGCTGCTTCCGGCACCAGTTTTTGGTGTCTCTCTTCGTCTGATGCCTACCCTTTGACCTGTCCAGCAAGGGAGGCCCTGCCAGTAGCTACGCTACCGCTGGTATAGCTCTCAGGGTCCTTGGCATACTCAAACCCCTTCACCACGATAAGGTGGAGACACCAACGAGGGGTGTATTAGATTACGGAAGCAAAATAGAGGCCAGAGCCCAACAAAATGCTGCAGAGTCGCTGTTAAATGAATGGTCACGTAATTATTGCCTTACGTGCAAATACTTTTATGTGTGGTATAATAATTAAACATTTATGTGATGCTAATATGAAGGACGTTGAAGTATGAACGCATTTTTTTAAAGAATTTCTCAAGAATATCTAACCTCAATAAATTCAAATTTCTAAAAAGACCGTTACATTTATACTAAGAAATTAAACATGAAACAGTAACAATATCGACTAGCTCGTGCTGATACCTAGCCGATGTTTTTTCAGCAACAGTGAACATTGTAATATTGAGCCAGGAATACTTTCCATTGTTGCCGTCCTCCGCTTATACTCGCAAGGACTTGCTAACGCACATAACGAAAGTAATGGCGAAATGAAAATGAGACAAGAAAAACACGGCCTTTTTTATATAAACAGTAAACATAAATACATATATTTATCACCCAAGTTGTACATTTGAATACTGAAAGTTATACACGAGTGTACACTAAGTAAATTAAGGCACCAGACATATCCATATTTGTAACATGACCCCGCCTCCACGTTTCTGATGAGGGCAGGAACCGAACCAAGTACTCGTGCCCCGTCCCAAGCGAGCGGTCATATCTTTAAACGGCGAAAATCGCCATTTAGTCATTAATGGCTCTACAGCCCTTCGTGGGGCCCTGACCGCTTTTACAGTTTCTTAATCCTATACAGAGTCGGTAGGACTCCTTGGACGGGGCATCGGCCCGTCGCAAGGCCGCAACCGATACACAGGGCAGCATAAACAGGGGATAAAAGCACAAAGACGTGCATAAAGGCGCAAATGGAAGAGGGAAAATAGACTCAAATTATATAGTCACTTACGAGAGAAGTGAGCACAGCCTTTCTTGAGATGCTAATGGCCGTTCAGCTAGTCAAGAAACGAGCTACATTCTTGAATGCCGAGTCTGCAAAAAAAAAAAACGCCAACTAGCACTTGCAGACGGGCAACTATCCGCAGATCACCTTTTGAGAAGATCTGCTCCCGCCATATTGATCCCATGTCTCTCATACACGTATGTCTGTCCCCTTTCTGTATTTTGCTTCAAGATGACGAGTGTAAGCCCTCGAAACATTGGTACAAGAACCTACGGAAGCAGGGGTGCCACTAAACAGCAAATAAAAGGGCTTTGTTGAATAGAAACACGTATTTTGGGGATC